ATAGCCATTCAATGAGATAGAGGACTTTCAAGCATTCTTGATGAAAAGACCAGAGCTGAATAGAAAAATTTACTTTCACATATAAGATTCAAGAGAAGCATAAAAAGGTAAACAGGAAAGGGAAATCATAAGGGACTTAATAAGGTTAAACTGTTTACATTCCTGCATGGGAAGATGATATTTGTAACTCATAAGACCTTTCTCAGTATTAGTAGTTAGTATATATAGACAGAGGGTACAGGTGTGAGTTGAATATGAAGGGGTGATATCTAAAAAATAAAGTTAAGGGGTGAGAGAGAGGAATGTACTGGGAAAAAGAGAAAGGGACAGGTAGAATGAGGTATATTATGTCATATAAAAGAGGCAAGAAAAAGCTTTTACCATGGAGGAGAAAAGGAGGCAGGTGAAGAGGAGTGAATGAACCTTACTCTCATCAGAATCGGCTCAAAGAGGGAATAACACACACATCAATTGGGTGCAGAAATCTATCTTACCCTACAGGAAAGTAGGAGGGGAAGGGGGGCATGATAGAAAAGAAGGCAAATTGGGGGGGTGGTCAGAAGCAAAACAGGGCGAAAGGAGAGGAGGGGGTGGAATAGTTAGCAATACTTACTGTGAAAAAAAACCTTTGAAGCCAGTTTCTCTAACAAAGGCCTCATTCCTCAAACACGTAGAGAACTGAGTCAAATTTATAAAGATAAGAGCCATTCCCCAAGGGATACCTGATCACAAGATATGATCAGTTTTCAGATGAAGTAATCAATGCTATCTACAGCCGTATGAAAATACACTCTAACTCACTATTGACTGGAGAAATGCAAATTAAAACAATTCTGAGGTACTACCTCATTCCTATTAGATTGGCTAACAGGACAGCAAAGATAAATGACAAATGTTGGAGGGGGTGTGGGAAAAATGAGACAATGAATTGTTGGTGGAGGTGTGAACTGATTCAACCATTCTGTAGAGCAATTCAGAACTATGCCTAAAGGGCTATAAAACCAGGCATACCCTTGGACCTAGCAATACCACTACTAGGTTTGTATCCCAAAAGAGATAAAAACCAAAAAGGGAAAGGACCCATATGTACAAAAATATTTATAGCAGCTCTTTTCTGGGGGCAAAGAATTAGAAACTGAGTGGACACCTATCAATTGAGGAATGATTGGACAAGTTGTGATATGTGATTATGATGGAATCCTATTGTACTATAAGAAATAACAGGGGCAGCTGGGTGACACAGTGGATAGAGCACCTGCCCTGAAGTCAGGAGGACCTGAGTTCAAACCCAGTCTCAGACTAGACACTAGTTGTGTGACCCTGGACAAATCACTTAGCCCCAATTGCCTAAAAACAATAAAAAAAAACCAACCAACAAACAAAAAAAGAAATGATGAGCAGGATGCTCTTAGAGAAACTTGGAAAGACTTGCACAGGCTGATACAAAATGAAATGTCCTGTGTACAAAGTTACAGCATTATTGTGGGATGATCCGCTGTGAGTGACTTAGCTATTCTCAGCAATACAAGGATCCAAGACAACTCTGAAAGACTTATGATGAAAAATGCTTTCTATCCCCAGAGAAAGAAGTGATGGTGTCTGAATACAGATTGAAATATACCTTTTTCACTTCTTTATTTTTCTTGAGGTTTTTTTTTATGTTTTCTTTCACGACATGACTATTATGGATATATTTTGCATGACTACATATGTATATCTATACAGAATTGCTTGCCTTCTCAGTGGAGGTGGGGTGGGGAGGGAGGAAGGGAGAGAATTTGGAATACAAAGTTTAAATTGTTTTTACATGTAACTGGGGAAAATAAAATACTAAATTAAAAAAAGAAAACAATTAAGGGGGAAAATCAGAATTTATCAAAATGGGTTTGACCTCCACTGATCGGGGTTCCCCAATCTTGCTTTCCAAAGTCAAAAGTAAATTATTACATTTTTTTAAAGTTTATTTTTGTTTTGTTACATTTTAAGCTCCAACTGTCTTCCTCTCTCCCTCCCCACTCCACACTAGAGGCCCCATTTTGCAGACACACACACACACACGTATGTGTGTTTGTATAAAAAACCATGCCATGCATACTTCTATTTGTCAGTTCTTTCTCTTGAGGTGGATAGCATCTTCCTTCATAGGTCCCTTGTAGTTGATTTGAGTATTTATCACACTCAGAATAACGGTCATTTGTAGGTATTCTTCAAACAATATTACTGGTACTGTATATAATGTTCTCTTGGTTCTTATTTCACTTTTCATTATTCCATGCATCTTTCCATGTTTTTCTAAAATCAACTTAAATCAATTAGGTTTTTCTAAAATCTAAAATCATCATTTCTTATAGTGCAGTAGTATTCCATCACAATCATATACCACAACTTGTTCAGCCGTTCTCCAACTGATGGGCATCCCTACAATTTCCAGTTCTTTACCACCATAAAGAGAGCTTATATTGTTATAAATATTTTAGAACATATAGGTTCTTTTTCTTTTTCCTTAGTCCCCTTGGGAAACAGACTTAGTAGTGTCAATGACTGGGTATGAGCCCTGGGAAACCTCCCCTCCCCCACCCAGCCAACTCTCCTTGAGTTTTCTCCCACATGGTCAAGTCTTGGTCAGTCTCCTGAGGCATCATCCCAGTAATCCTCTCAAATGGCCTTTCACAGTGGCTACTTTCATTGAGGCTATGCCCAATCTCCCAATTCCGTTACCTCTGACCCAGCCCAACCTTCATTGTCTGTTACCTCCCTATCAGCCTGGCCATTTCCCACCCTTGATCCTATCTAGACCCCTTTCTACTCCCAGTCACTCCCATCAAGATCCTCCCTAGACCCCTCCTCCAGTCACCTCTGCTTACTGGCCAGTCCCATCAAAGTCTTCCCTAGACCCCTCCTCACAGTCACCCCAGACTACTTGGCTACTCCTGGATCCCTGCCACAGTCTTTCTGTATATACAGTCCATCTTGTCTCCATTAAGGGGCTCAGATTCTTAAAATCTAGCCAATGGCTCACAAATGTTCAGATTCCTTAAGAGTCTGGCCAGTATGGTCAGACCTTGTCTTTGGCTGAAAGAAGGTTTGGGTCAAATTCATTCGGGCAAGACCTGTGTGTTGCTATTTCAGGGTCCCAGGACCCTCTAACCCTCAACAGAAAATGCATGAAGGCCATAATTGTGGAACAGCTGGTGGCTGCTTCAGCAAGGAATTGGTCTGGGTTTGTTTGTGACTGGATCTCTGACTTCATTAGCACAAGGAACTCCCAGTGGGCAGCTGCTCTCTACAAATGTAATTACTACTCTGCAGCACATGGTCTTAGAGAATTGCTTGGGGGCCCTAAGAGGTCATTGTGACTTGCCAGGGTCACATAGTCAATGTGGGCCAAAGGTAGGACCTGAACTCAGGTCTCCAGGACTGGCTCTTTACCTACTATGCTACACTGTCTCTCAGATAAGGAGTTAAAATATCCTAAATGCCCTAGGTCTCCTTGTAGTTCATATTACAGATATTTTTCCTGAGAGGCAGATTTGTGGGGCAGAAAGAATGCCTACCATGCCATTCAGTCAGTCAGGAATAACCTGGCTTTGATCCGTAGTCATTGGATTTTCCTTTCCAAGCTTCAGTTTCCTCATTTATAAAATGGGATAATAATCTCTGTGCTGAACTTCCCTAGGGTTGTTTCATAGGGTTTTGATCACAAATAGAACATGTAGTTCAACTCTTTCATTTATAGATGGGGACCCTGAAGCCCAGGGAGGGGAAGGGACAGTCTGTGGCAGTAGCAGAGGCTGGTTTGAATCCAGATCCTGGGCCCTTTCCATAATACAGCTCACACTCTACTTCAGCAAACTGAGCTTGCTGACCTCCAGAGGAATCTGCTCCATAAAGGAGGCTTTTTTATCTTCCCCAGACAGCATTCTAAGTGAGGCCTGGGCCTTGATCAAGATCCTAGGAGGATCTCTGTGTGCAGTCCTGAGAGCTCCGGAAAAATGAGCCTCTTTCTTTGAGAAGCACAGACCAGTAGAGATAACCAAGGAAGAGAGTAGGGAAAAGAAAAGCAACGAATTGGAAGAAGGGAATGGGACGCTTCTGGAGAACCCTCGTTCTGGGCCCAAAGAAGGCATGGTTCTCATTGGTCAGGATTTAAGGGCTAGAGGTGGTGCCTGTGATGAGGAATGATAATGTTTAATCCCACTCTATTCTTCAGGTACCTGAACCCTATAACTCTATTTGGAATCTCACTGGGATCTGGGGATCACTGAGGCTTTACAACTTTGGAGATGGAGAAATTATTGAATTTTGGTTGGGGACAGAGCACCCTAGGAAGAAGATTTGTTTTTTCCAATTCCCTCCCCCAGGGTTCCGAACCATTCCTAAAACTCTTGGGACAGCCCTGGGGCTGAGGGAGACTCTGATGTGGCCTCTCTGGCCTGTGCCGGATCCCACAGGTCCACCTTAGTCCAAACCACATCTCAGGAAGCTTCAAGCATCCTTGGAGCCTCACTGATGCATGGGATAAGCTTTATGTACCCCTCCGCACCCTGTCAGTGCAGGGGGCTGAAGGGTACACACCTAATTGTCATGGGGGAATACAGATGACTTTGGCTTGGTCTGCAGTGGGGGAAGACACCTCTTCAGTCAGGCTGTAGAGCTGTGTTTCCAGATGTGCTCCATTTGGGCCAGGGATGCAAATGTATAAGACTGGGAATTGGAAGAGACCTCAGGGATCATCTAATCCAGCCCCCTAATTTTACAGAGAAGGACCCTGACATCCAAATGGGGGAGGGACTAGGCCAATTCCTCCTCCTCCTCCTTCCTTGTTTCCCCAGTACCTCAAAGTGGACTCTCCTAAGTAGTGACTGGAGGCCACTTGGGAATTCTGGAATGCAAGGATGATGAGGGGACCCACAAGCATCCCCTCCCTCTGTCCTGGCCCACACTGATCAAAGAGTCAACCTCAGCTGAAGTGAAGAAACAGAAGGCTTTTTTTTTCTTTCTGGGAAGCTCTGGGGAAGGGTCAGTAATGGGGATCTGAAATGTCAGTGACAACAGCCCCGTGGATCACCTTCTCCCAATTCACCAGCTGCTGCACAAAGCCTCTGTTGGGCCGAATGTTGTTTTTACAGTTCTGCACATGGGCCCAGGATCTCTGCAAATACAGCAAGAAGAAAGCCAAGTTTTGTCAAGAGGGTGGAGAGAGTTGTAGCAGTTTCCTCCCTTGCATTAGAATCAGTGAGATAATGTTCCCTGGTAATATTTATTTTTCATTCTTTCACTTTATTTTATTATTCAATTACCAAGCACTTATTTTCTCTCCCTCTCAACCTCCTTCCACTGTGCCAATTTAAGAGGAAAAACCCCCAAACCTTTGTAACAGACATGCATGGGTATGCGAAGCAAATCCCCACACTGGCCACGTCTGAAAATGAATGTCTTGTCCTGCATCTTTGATCCATCACCTTTCAGGAAGTGCGCAGTGCGCTCCTTCCTTGGTCGTCCAGAGTGACAGTTGGCCATAGCATTGACCAGGGTTCTTTCAAGGTCTGATTGTCTTTGTGATGTTGTGGTTACTGCATAACTTCTTCTGCTGGCTCTGCTCACTTCACTTGGCATCAACCTCTTGTTGGCTGCTGCTTCGTGGACGTATTGTTACTTAAGTTCACGCGGCTATCACGCATGAAGGACCTTACGACTCCATCCTTGGATTTTTGCAAGTTCCATCCAAGAACAAATCACTTTCACCTCCATTTGACAAATCCAGTGGTACGTATTGGCTGATGGCCCTTGGGAAGTATAAGGGCTGTTTCATCCAAAAGTATTTCTGCAAACATGGAGCCTTGTTTTATCATGTCTTCTCATCTTTTTCAATAAGAAGTGGTCCTGGGACAACTTGCCCTCCTGAAACTATTCTTTTATGTTAAATATTCTATGGACAATTTTACAAGGAGATACGATCAATGCTTTTTGTTTTGCAGTTGAATAAAAGTATTTGGATGCAAGCTCTTTCTCTGTAGGCTCATGGAAAGCATCTCTGTACAACTCCAGTAGTAGTCAGAACAACAAATATGATGGGTACTTCAACCTGTTCCCATGTAATTTTAATGTGCCACACCAGGTTTCTACATTTAGAAAGTTGTTTCATTATAGGCAATTTGGAGAGATTATGACGTTCTGCTAAGCTGACATCAGTTAGAAACAATGTTCAAAATTCCTATGGATCAATATTATGTGCAGGCAATCATGGCAACAGTTTCGCCCCTCGATAATGGTTCAGTTAGGGCAGCTAAATGGTCCAGTGGATAGAGTGCTGGGCCAGGAAATCAGGACATTTAAATCTGGCCTCAGACATTTCCTAGCTGTGTGACCCTAGGTAAGTTGCTTAACCCTGTTTGCCTCAGTTTCCTCATTTGTAAGAGGAGCTGGAGAAGGAAATGGCAACCCCTCCAGCATCTTTGCCAAGAAGAGTTTTTGTCATGAAGAGTTAGACACAACTGGAAATGACTAAATAACAACAAAACTGGTTCAGTTTCCATACAAGTTTACTGGTTGAATTCTCTAAGCTATTTTGAAGCCTGTATTTATAGGATGGAGATTTGTCACCCGTCAGTCTGTGAAAGATAGCAAGCTTCGGACATGATTGTAGCCATAGGGTCATGTCTTACTAGGTATTCATTCAGTAGTGGTAAATACTGACATCCTGGAGTATCACTAAATCTGGGCTCTTTAAAGGATATTCCTTTTGTAATTTCTGGTGGTGATGGTCTGGCATTGAATTGTTATCATAAGCCCCTCATTTCCATAGGACAGTCACTTATTTGATGTTTCTTTGTCAATGTATCGTTAGCTGGGTTCACACGGATGTCACCCATGCGATGTCTTTTGAGTCCATTCTGGGATATGAGTCATTCTGCAGGTTCTATCCAGAGGTGAACCACTTTTAGTTATCTGAGAGAAATCCAAAGTTGTGTGCCTACTGTCAGCCTTAACTACTGTGCACTGATCGATACCTACTTGTTCCAAAAGTATTTCTGAAGATTTTTATTTTTTTTTAACTGTTATTAATCTGCTTCCTTCTTTCTGTAGAGGAAGTATTCATTTTTCCCCCCCACAGCCCACTTAAGGTGACAGACCCTAGGTTTCATGAATATTGGATGGCTTTTTGCTAGGATACTTTTCGAATCCATTATGACCTATTTTATAATTCTGAAAGTGGACATTAAGACTGCTGTTGGTAAGTTTTCATTCTCTAAGTCCAGTCTTTCCATTCAGATTTGATTTCAGGATGCTGGTAAGTCTCTTGGATATTCAGCCTTCTCTCAGTTTTCTTTATGCTCAATGTGTCTACGTATCCTCTTTATCCATTTGGTTCAATGTGACTTCCACATTCAAGCTCAAAGTCTTCAATGTCTCTCTTCCCTTGGTATACTTTAAGAACATCATGCTTGTTGAGTCCAAATACCATTCTGATATTGTCGGAGAAGGAATTCACAAAATGAAAGAGCTCTTTGTTATGCTCTTTGGCGCAGCCATATAAATTGACCTCATCCATGTCATTCAAATGATTAGTAAGATGTTGTGGCCTAATTCTCTCTTTGATCTGGAAGCCAGACTTCTATTTAAGAGAGACAATAATGGATTTCGGGCAGAAATACAATGAGTTTTCTCTGAGGACGTCGTGATTTATATCAGTTACTCTGGACATTATTGTGCTGGTGGTATGTTTTAAATACAAACTAGCTTTCCAGTATGCATATCAAGTGCCCTTTAGTGCTTTCACTATACTTGGGCTTATTTTGCATCGTCCCAGTATGTGAACAAGCCACAAGCATGAGACAGAGTCAAAGGCTTTGCCATGATCACAAAGCAAATTACGGCACTTTGGGACAGCTTGTTTAATAATTACCAAATAGATAAAGAGTTTCCTTGTTATCACCTGTGACTTTTGAGTGTGCCCTTTTTGCTCCTTCATCAATATATGGTTCTTTTTAAATGTCTACAGATTTGTGGGATTAAATACTGTGAATGCTTGGTGTAAAGAACACAAACATGTAAATGGCCTGCACAGGCCTCTTAAAGCACATGGCTGCACTAAGACTTTTGGAACCCCTGGTGTTTGGGGAGCTCTGGGTGTTTCCATCTTCTGGTAATGAATGGGCTGCTTTCTCTTACTGAAGACAGGATCAGGTTTCTGTGGGGGAAATGCTTTGCTAGTCATTCACCCATTGCTGCAGTTCACAGGAGCCAAGAGCCACCCATCTACCCTGCCCCCCCCTTTTCAGGGGTGCAGAACAGCTGGAGTTTCAGTCCCCTCCCTGGACATAGTTTTGGTTGGTCATTTATTAGCGGTGCACACACTTCCTGTTTCTTGTTTGACCCAGCACCCAGTTTTGTTGTGCTGGGCTCTTGGGACCATTTAGAAACCAGAGACGTTCTCCCTACTGCTTCTTAGGGGCATCTTTCTCCTGGTTTCTTTGCTTCTCCATCCACCGCAGTAAAGTTTTTGCTCCACATTGGATTGTTTGTTTCATTCTTTGCCCGGCGTTGACTCCTTGTACCACCTTAACTTTGGGGTTTTTCCTTTCGACTCCTAATTGAGAGGGCACAGAATTTCTGTTGCACTTTTATTTTCTAAGCTCCATTCTACCGATTTCTTGTATGTTGCCTTTGATTGGGCAGTACAGCCTTCAAGTTTCCTGCCACATGTGTGAACTAGATATTGACAGAATTCTCCAAGGCCTATCCCCAGATCTCCAGGACTCTCCCAAGCTGCTAATGCCATGGCGCTGTCATGCCCCTACCAACATTTCTTGATGGCACTGAATTTCCTCCTTAGGTTCTATCCACAGCAATGACTACTGCTTAGACTGTAGGGTCAGAGTCCTGAAACGTTCACACCCTTTCATGTGAGCATTTGTTCATGGTGACGTCACAGATTTTAATTTTGAATTGTTCTGTTTAGACATCATGGGTCTTCCAGTTGGATTTATAGGTTATACTCAAGAATGGCGTCTTGAAATTCTGATCTAAGTATGATCTTCTCCTTTTCAAAGTCATTTGAGACACTGGTATTATTTTTGTCATCACTTTGGGTTTTAGGTGTAATTTCTAAAGTCTGGATTTCTAGTGGCCTCAGGTTCCTGAACCTTTCTCCTCTCTGGACTTCAGCAGCTCATGACTTGTCTCTTATTTCATCTAATCTAGGTCAAAGGGTGAAGTTATTTTTTCACCCTTGCCCTACATTGGTCAGTAGAATGTTGTTTGTGACTCCGAGCTGAGGGTACTGTTGACAAAAAGCAGTATGGAGCCCTTGCCTGTATCTGGTAAGATTTGTTTCAAATTTGGTTGCTATGTCAAAGTCTTCATACCTTTAGCCCATTTCATGCATCCTCATGGCTTTCCTACTTTGCAGATGAAACCTTCTATATGTGCTGTCTCTCCTATTAGAATGCGAGCTCATTCAGGGCACATCTGCATTACTTTTCTCTTTGTGTCCCCAAAGTCTGGCACAGGGCTTTGCACACAGTAAGTGCTTAATACATGCTCTCTCCTCCTCCCTCCTTTCCTTCCTTCCTCCTCTCCTGCCTGCCTACCTGCCTATTTATTCCTTCATCCCCTTGGCATTCAGACCTGTGGGCATTGAAGCACTGACAGCAGGTGGCATTTTTATATTTCCAACTTGCTTGGGTCCACCTTTCCTTTTCCTGGCCAGAGAACTGCGTGAGATGCACCTGGCTATCCTGTGCCAAGCTGACCACTATGGCGGGGGGAGGGGTCAATCCACATTGCTCTGCCACTCGGTCTGTTTCTTTGACTCTTTATATCAGGCCTGGGGTGGGCGGATGCTACATGTATCAAGGGAGAGAGTTAACAGCCATAGGATGAGGCGGGCAGAGTCAGGAAAGGCTTCAAAGTAGCAGATCTGGTGAAAACAACAGGGGAGCCTTCCCCTATTACTGTCAGAAGAGAGGCTCGTGATGGAATGCGCCGTACTGACATGTCTTTCCTAGTGTGTGGCCGTCAGGTCAGAGACTCTGTAGGATGGCTAAACTGGCCAGTCTGAGGGGCTGCCTGGTATAGTGGCTGCAGCACTCCCTGGGCTTGGAGTCAAGGAGGTGCTGGGCTCTAATCCCAACTCAAACACCTACTAGCTGTGTAAAGGAAAGCTGCTCCTTTCTAGTCTCTGCCACTGACCTAGGCTGGTGTCATTTAAGTTTTAACTTGAATATATCGACACCAACACTTTCCCCTTGTCTTTCAGAATGCATAGAGAAATTTCCCAAGATATTCATGACAAGAGGATGTATTTACATTTCGTATTTAATAGTTACTAGAGGCCCATTGCTACTGGGCACTTGAACCCTATATATAGTGAAAGTTGAATGAATTTCCTCAATGAAACAGAATAAGAAAGTGATATTAGACCAATAAGGAAGAATTTCCAGGGACTCTGACCACCACAACTCTCTTCTTCTCTCCCCCAAGAACTTTACAAAAATATACACTATTACCTGGGGCACTGGAAAAGTGCCTGCATATCTTCTGGAGGGACAGACCTCTAATAGGCGAATAAGATAGAGGGCAAGTAGGGAGAATGTGGAGTTTTTCATTGGCCAACATGTAACAACTCTAGGTTGAGTTTGTCTCCTGATAGACATTATATGTACAATAAAAAAGGCAGGGATATGGGACAGGACAGTGGAGAACAAAGGCCTTAATTTCTTTGCTTACCTTTAGTTCTGCTTAAATTCATCCGCCCGCCAACCCAGAAAGGATCTCGGGAAGAAAGTGGCCTTTCCTCCCCTCCCTTCCACAAAGCTTTTGATACAAACCTCTGAAATGGGTTTTGGAGGCACCATATCCACTCTAAAGGGCTAAGGGAGAGGCATAAGAAATTTCCAACCCTAAGTCAGAGGGCGGTGTGGGATCACGGACTGTGATCTAGCCCTAAACAGAGGTCAAAGAAAAGGGTTAAGTCTTTGCTGAAGGACACTCTGCCTGGCTTCTCTTTAGCCCCCCTTTAGTTGGGTATGGTCTCTCATGGTGGGTTGTTGTCTTTCATTCTCAAAGGAGACCAAAATGACCTCACTGTGTTAGGGTCAAGTGACAGTGTATCTGACTGTGGCTGATCAGACCAATCCTTGCTTCATGTGAACATTTGGGGAGGATTCTCTAAGTGTGTGCATTTCATGTTTCTTTGGAGCTACTTCAATTCTGCTTTGCTCACAGAGCACTGCACCTTCTCTGATGTGGGCACGCCATGCTGGGCGGTTCTGTGCCAGTGTCTCCCACGTCACACAATCAATTCCAAAGTTCTTGAGAGACCTTGAGAGTGTCCTTGTACTGTTTCTTCCGACCACCATGTGAACACTTGCCTGTATGAGTTCTCCATAAAATGGTCTTTTTGGCAAGTGTACGTTTTGCATTCAAACAGCGTGGCCAGCCCCTTGAAGCTGTGCTCTCTGAAGCAGAGTTTGAATACTTGGCAGTTCAGTTCAAGAAAGGACCTCAGTGTCTGATATCTTATCCTGCCAGGTGATCTTCAGCACCTTCCTAAGGCAATTCAAATGGAAGCCATTCAGTTTCCTGGCATGGCACTGGTAGACTGTCCAGGTGTCACAGGCATACAGCAATGAGAGAAGCACAACAGCTCTGGAGACCTTCAGTTTGGTAGCCAGTCTAATACCTCTCCTCTTCCACGCTTTCCTTCAGACCCTCCCAAACACTGAGCCAGCTCTGGCAATGTGTGTGTCAACCTCATTATCAATGTGTATATGTCTAGAAAGTGTACTGCCAAGGTAAGTGAACTTATCCACGACATTCAAAACTTCTCCATTTGCTACAACCAATGGTTCCATGTATGGGTGGTGTGGTGCTGACTGATGGAGTTCATTGTTTAGGGACTCCATCACCCAAACAAGCTTTTTTAACCTAGGGCTGATGACCTTGCCCACTAGATGGTTTCTGGGGATCTGGCAAGTTAAAAAATAAGGGGAGTCAGCAGGGACCCCAGAGAAGGGGCTGCCTGTCTACCCCATGATATTCTTCCTCTGGACTGATGAAAACCATATACTTTCTGCATGGCAGGTCCCCTATTTTCAATTTTAATTTATTTTATTTTGCCCTGACTGAATTTTTTTTTGGCCAGGATGTCTTTCAGGGTTCCCATATTTTATTTTTAGGGCCCCAGTATATATGGTAGCTGGCACATGTGGCCTCTGGTCCCTCTCTATAGCCCTACATTGGAGGTGACCTTGGCCATCTTCCTAAGGGAGGGGAGTAGGGAGTATCCACTTCATCTGCCCTTAGACCTGCTATGGGACCAATTTTAGGTTTTAACATTGTAACAACAACCCTAAGTAACTTAGTTAACAATCTTACAACTTTCATAACTGAGAGTGAAATTGTTTTAGTTGTAAGACAAGGTTAGCAGGGCTTAATAAAATAACATAACTGGTTTTAAACAGTTTTTTCCACTGTCTTCTAGTTTCAAAATTCAGATTAAAATTGCTTTGTCTAACACCATTTCTGGCTCACAATTGTCACTCAAATTTTACAGTATAAGAGAATTCATATGGTGTTAATTGTTAGGCCAAAATTAGCACAAGCAGCAGAGAAACAATCCATACTTTGTTGCATCTCAGCTTCAGAGGCTGCATTGAGTGCAGAATTATCTGCGAAGAAAAATCATGTACCAACTCTCCTTCCACTTCAGTCTTGGCTTGCAGCCTTTGAGGTCTCTCATAGCTTCTGTTTATGATTAAAGAGCTGTCTGCCTGCTTTTATCAGGGAGAGGCTTTCTAGTCAGTGCCTCCTAGCAGATGGAAAAAGATAGCTGGGAAGTGACCCTCAAGAAGTAAGCCCAAGAGTATACTAGCATGACCAAGATAACAGCAAACAACACCACTGGAGTGATGTACTTCGGAGATGATACTTCTAGCAGAGGGAAGTATGACATTACCAGGGGCATCAGCAACCTTGAAAACACTGAAAGTGTGAGACGCTACGGTCAAGTGTGTCCTAGGCACATATATTCTCTGTATGTGTATATTTCACGGGATGGTCATGTGGTGTTCCCTATGTGTACATAAAAAGAATTTTCTAAAGAAAATGACTTTATTTACTATGATATTTGCTATCTTATGAACTAATATGTCCTTTGGCTCACTGATAAAAGCAGACATATTAGTCAGAGCTCAAAACGTATTCATCTTGAGTGAGTCTTACCCATAGAGTACTGTGAACCTGGGGGTGATTTTCTATAGTTATAGGTCCATAATCACATAGAGTTTTGACTAGGATGGGAAACAGGGAAGTTTCCTCCAACCTTCTAAGTTTTTTTTTCATGAAGAAAAAGTGTTAGAGCTAAGATACAATAAGATCCTATTTCACTTCTATCTGTGCTTGACATACACCTGACTGACCGGTCTATTGATTGTCACATGAGATAGATAGATGTAAACGTAAGAGTGTGCTGGAACCAGTCCCAAACAGCTTGTGAAAAGCAAATTTACAAATTTCAGAGCGATCAAATGAACCCCAGAAACCAGCAATTGCTACAAATCAGGGCTTGGCTTATTGTTTTGTTGATTATCTAGACTTAAGAAAGTGTTAATAATACAGATTAAATGAAAAGTGTGTGTGCATATCTTTTTATTCTGAGAGCCTGACTCTTAAGCATTTATCAGTACACTCCTGTTTTACCTTATAAACATTGCTTAAGCTCAGCAGGAGAGTACTGGAAGGCTCATGGGATGAATTCATCACCATCCTAGCGGGTAATAATAGTAATAATTATTATAAACTATTATTATTATTATTATTATTATTATTGGCATCTAGATAAGGTTTGCAAAGTGCTTTATATCCATATCTCATTGGAGTCCCATAACAACCCTGCCTGCACTCCAAGGAAAAGAAGGAAGAAAGTAGAAATGTCAGTCTACGTACCCTTAAGGATTCTTTATTCCGATGCATGAGATAAGCCAAAACCATAGTACAACCACGACTTATTCCCCGAGTAGAGAAAACAAGGACGACAGAGCCAAGATTAATATGGGCATCTGAAACAAAAAGAAAAGGCACGTTAGTTTTGGAAAAATCAAAGGTCACCTTGCCTTGGTTAAGTGAATTGTCTTACATTATGTTTTTGCAAATTGAATGTACTCCCTATGTCAGGTACATGTATAATTACAGGGTGATAGGAGCATATCTCAAGAGATGGAAAAGACCTCAGAGACCATCTAATCTAATCCCTTCATTTTACAGTGGAGGAAACTGAGTCCCAGTTCACCCAAGGTCACACAAGTATTAAGTGTCAAAGGCAGAACTGAATGAAGGTCCTCAGACTGTCTTATCCCCCTCTGAGACTATCAGCTCCATGAAAGCAGGGATGGTATTTTATCTAAGCTCTGTACCTTTTCTAGAACTTAGCATAGTACGATTTATTAAGCAGAGTAGGTCTTTGTTGAATAAGCAAGTGAGTGAATGAATGGATGACCTGTGTTGATTCTGGGAAATGATATTTCCTTTCCATCCTGGGAAATGGCATATGAACTTTCCCCATAAACTGATTGTGTTGTGACTTCCACTCTGATGCGCAGAAGACATGTGAGGAGGAGGGGTCACTGCTCCACACTTGCTTGGTTAAATGGTGGGGGATCTGAGGGCTGAGCAATGGGCCAAAGCTGAGAGCACATGAGACTTAAAATCTCAGCTTTGAGACCTTAGGAAACTTCCGCGACCTCTATGAACTTATGGTAGGTGTAAAGGAGGACTGGCTAAAGGCATGTCTGACTCTAGAACCTGAACACCCAAACAGGATTGGGAAGATTACCTCTGTTACTTTACAGGGATTGCTGCTAAGCAGCAGGACCTGATATCACCAAAGCCTTCTAGCTGAAGACTGGGGGCCTCCAGGCAAAAACGGCAGAAAACTAAAAGGTGCAGAGTCCTGAGTTGAACTGCATCTTCAGCTCCCTTCCAATGTAAGGGTTACTCAAAGGGTTTGTACTTATGGAAGGTGATTAGGAGGCTGGATTGGGTTATTAGAGCCTCTATACTTTCCAAGCCCTCTTTTAACGGAGCCTCCACTTTCAACAAGTTTAATAATCAACAAGATTAATAATCTTAATAGGCTTTAATAAGCAGCTATAGTCCAGCATCCACCCCCATTCTTTTGAAGAGGTGGGGGTCTTCAGGTATAGGACATTGCATATGATGTCCCCATTAGGGGTGTGTGAAATGATGGCTGAGCCATCAAAGGGAACTGAAAATGAGCAGTCAGATAGGTAGAAGGAGAATCAGATGACAGCCATGTCACAAAAAAACCAATGAGAAGAAAGGAGAGAGTGTTCTACGGGGTCAAATGCAGCAGAGGTCTAGAAGGATGCTGCATCTTTTCCTCATCTTTCTGTTTTCTCCCTCATTTGTACTCTCCTAGCCTTGTATTAATTTTGCTTGGACAAGTTGGTGATCTAGGTCCAGCCAGCTGACTCTCACAGAAGTACTGGGTCATTTCCCGTCCCTTAAAATGTGATCAGTCTCACTTTTCGTGATGTCGTTCAGTATACGATATGTCGGAAGTACTCATGACATACAAGGGTGACTCTATACAGTCTTCCGTCAGTCTTCGTTCTCTTTATCTATATTTTCCAGTGTGTTCATCACTGTCCTCAACTATTCCTACCTTTGTGTCGATATCACTATGTAGCAAAGCTCCTGCTAATTTAATTAGGGAGAGTGTGATAGAGTCCTTATATGATTTCTTCTCCTCTTCATCCCTTGTTACAGGTGAAGATGCAGAACCTGCAATTACTTTTGTGGTGGTCTTCTTTTCAAATCCTTGTCACAAGCGCTGTAATGTGAGATAAACAAATGTCCCACAAAAGGATATTTCTTCTTGCCTTTGGGTGCCCAATAAGAGTAACACTACTAATCGCTTTATTTGTCTCTACAAGAAGAACCTATGGCCAGTCTTACTATTTTGCTGCCATTCCCCTCCTCCCCCCCCCCGTCTTCTGGTTTATTTTATGGCAAGAATGTCAGGATGAATATAACTCATTTTCTCCAATAGTATGTTTACTAATGAATTATTGGGTCAGGTTTTCTTACATTTGGAGTATAAATGGTTGTCAGTCTTTATGGGTAGTCTAAACACTGTATAATTCTTTTCTAACCCTTTGCCATCATCTCTGCACAAGAGGAAGGGAGCCAGATGAGAATTAGGACCTTGTGAGTCTAGGAGATCCCGTAAGAGGTCCCAGGAATGGGTTGGAGTTGAATGGTGTTAGTAGTACGGTCCACCAGTGCGGTAGTGGCTACATGGCAGTGGAGACACCCATACCAAGTACAGAGATACACTGAAGCAAATAGATTAAGATTGATAGTCACCTGGGACCTGTCTCCTTATTTTGAAAAGAAGCCAAACTATGAATTTGTAAGGTACCAACCCACTAAGCCCAGCAGACAGAGGAGCTTCCCACGTGTTCTCGGTGTGTATACCTCACTACCACTGTGCTCTCCCTACACTACAGATAGACCTTGTTTACATTTGCAGGAGCTGGTCAGCTCCCCTCAGCCTGGTTTAGCCCCTCTGCCGAGACAGCTGCTAGGCATGCTACAGCTTCTTGGAGCCACAGGTGAGAGGGAGGGGTAAGCGACAAGCCTCAAACCCCTCAGTGAGTTTGGGGGACATCTACCACAATCATGTGAAGACTTTCCCTGGCAGAATGGGCAGATGAGGCCATGAAGGCGGCTAAAGCAGGTTCTGTGGAGTTGTTTCAGTCATGTCCAACTCTTCAACCCCATTTGGGGTTTTCTTGGTAGAGATACTGGAGCAATTTCCCTTTTCCTTCTCCAGCTCATTTTACATATAAGGAAACTGAGGCAAACAGGGTTACATGACTTGCCCAGGGTCACACAGCTTGTAAGTGCCTGAGGCCAGATTTGAACTTAGGAAGACGAATCTTCCTGATTCTAGGCCTGGTGCTCTATGTACTCTGCACTACATAAAATATGGCTCAGTAATTCTCTTTTTTTCCCCCTAAGCCCTCATGGAGGGCAGAATGCAACCACAGGATTTAAAAGAATCTCTCTCTCTCTCTCTCTCTCTCTCTCTCTCTCTCTCTCTCTCTTTCCCTATGTATTTCATGCCCATTGCCTCCCCTTGCAACAGTTTGCTTCCCTGCCAAAGTGCTGGGTAGTGATAGCAGCTCCATCCCCTCCCTCTTCCCTCTAGGCCCCATCACATTCAATCCTTCTGACTGACATGCTTTCCTCCAGCTCCACTGTCTGGGGTCTCGCTCCACTGAAGAGGCTCCTGGACCTGTTTTCTGCCAGGAATGGGAAAAAGGAGGAGTTTATCCACCAAGGAAAGCGACTGGTTCCCTGGGTACCAAGTCAGATGATGCCTGTGGATTTCTGCATGCCAGCAGACATCATCTCCTGCCTTTTATCACACTGACACAGCTTTTCCCTCCATGTCTGGGATAGAATATAGTCTATCAGTGGTAACATCTACCACAGCTATAGACCAGAATAATGAGCAAATCATGCCCCCAAATGACTTCTCCTCTCTGCCTGTGTGGCCCTCCACATGCTTACCCATGAAGTGAGTGGCCTGCCGGAAATGGGAGAAAAGATCCTCTTCTGGGGAGTCGGTCACTTTGATATGAAGAAAGTTCCTCTTATCTCCCTCAAAGCTAAAGAAAAGAAACACACAAGAAGTGGGTTAGACTTATTTGCAGTTGTCATCAACTTTAGATAAATTCAGCCACACTTATTAAGGTCTATATGGGAGAGGCAGCACAGTTTAGAGGAGACAGCTGGCCTCAGAGGGAGGAAGACTTGGATTCAAACCCACCTCTAACACACACTGTCCCAGAACCCAGGAAAAGTCACTTCTCCTAGTCCCCCAGGCAGCTCCATGAGGCTCTAGGGTGCACAGCAAAGGTAAGGCTTCACTGACAGAGCTTTCTCACCATGAAATCATGGGTCTGGAAAGCACCTGGGCTTCCTCTCTGGACTCTAAGCTCAGCACAGTATCTGGTATACAGTAGGCACTTAAAAATATTGATTGATTGGGGCGGAGCCAAGATGGCAGAGTGAAAGCAGTGACTTGCTTGAGCTCTCCTCCAAACCTCTCCAAATACTCATAAAAAATGGCTCTAAACAAATTCTGAAGCAGCAGAATCCACAAAAAGACAGAGTGAAACAAATTTCCAGCCCAAGACAACCTGGATGATTGATCAGAAAGGTGTATCACACCGGGCTGGGAGCACAGTGCAGCGGGCAGCGCGCAGGCGCAGCGAACCTGGAGCAGGCCTCAGAGGACTGAATCTCGGGCAGCTGTGGAGGTTTCCAGACTCCTCAATCCACAATGCCAAAGACAACTTAGAAGGTCAGTGGGAAAAGTCTGTTTCTGTCGGTGCTGAGAAGGAAGGGGGTTTCAGCTCCATTCCCCAAGAGCGTGGCCCGGGGGGGGCAGCTGCTTCCCAAGCTTCCGGCCCACAGACTGAGGGGGAATCCAGTGGCTGATCAGAGAGGGACTGCAGGGATCTCTTTGCCAGTGTTGAGGCAGGAATCTCTTGCTTTGCCCCTGTTTGGATCTGGGTCACAGTTCTGGGGCGGTGCTGGGTGAGGAGGACACTGGCTGGTGGAGCTTGTAGTGGCTGTGGAGAGAACCCCTCCTCACAGTTACAGGACAGAAAGGAATACTTGTGGTCACAGGCCAGGAAAGGAGTAAACACCTCGCCCTTATCATACCACCTTGGAAGAACTGAAAATTTACAGGTCCCTACAAGTATCTCTGAAAACAGCTATACAAACCCCTGAAGCTTGGGACAGTACATTCTCCACATTGGAAGCAGACTCTTACCTTAACAAAGAGTTTAAAACTCAAGTAATTGGCTGGGATCATGAGCAAGCAGCGCAAAAAGAGTCAGACTATATTATCTTACTTTGGTGAAAAAGAAGATCAAAATATACAACCAGAAGAAGACAACAAAGTCAAAGCTCCTACATCCAAAGCCTCCAAGAAAAATATGAATCAGTCCCAGGCCTTGGAAGAGCTCAAAAGGGATTTTGAGAAGCAAGTAAGGGAAGTAGAGGAAAAAAATGAGAGTGATGCAAGAAAATCATGAAAAACAAGTCAACAGCTTGCTAAAGGAGACCCAAAAAAATACTGAAGAAAATAACACCTTAAAAAATAGCCTAACCCAAATGGCAAAAGAGGTCCAAAAAGCCAATGAGGAGAAAATGCCCTAAAAAGAAAAATTGGCCAAATGGAAAAGGAAGTCCAAAAGCTTACTGAAGAAAATACTTCCTTAAAAATTAGAATAGAGCAATTGGAAGATAGTGACTTTATGAGAAATCAAGACACAGTAAACAAATCCAAAAGAATGAAAAATTAGAAAACAATGTGAAATATCTCATTGGAAAAACAACTGACCTGGAAAATAGATCCAGGAGAGAGAATTTAAAAATTATTGGACTATCTGAAAGCCATGATAAAAAAAGAGCCTAGACATCATCTTTCAAGAAATTATCAAGGAAAACTGCCCTGATATATTAGAACCAGAGGGCAAAATAGAAATTGAAAGAATCCACAGATCTCCTCCTGAAAGAGATCCCCAAAGGAAAACTCCTAGGAATATTGTAGCCAAATTCCAGAGTTCCCAGGTCAAGGAGAAAATATTACAAGCTGCCAGAAGGAAACAATTCAAGTACTGTGGAAACACAATCAGGATAACACAAGATTTAGCAGCTTCTACATTAAAGGACCGCAGGGCATGGAATATAATATTCGGAGGGCAAAGGAGATAGGATTACAACCAAGAATCACCTACCCAGCAAAACTGAGTATAATCCTTCAGGGGAAAAAATGGTCATTCAGTGAAATAGAGGACTTTCAAGCATTCTTGATGAAAAGACCAGAGCTGAATAGAAAATTTGACTTTCAAATACAGGACTCAGTGGAACATGAAGAGGTAAACAGGAAAGAGAAATCATAAGAGACTTATTAAGATTGAACTGTTTACATTCCTGCATGGAAAGATGATATTTATAACTCATGAGACCTTTGTCAGTATTAGGGTAGTTGGAGGAAAAAAATTATATGTATGTATATAGATAGATAGATAGAGGGCACAGGGTGAGTTGAAGATTAAGGGGTCATATCTGGAGAATAAAATTAAGGGATGAGAGAGGATTATACTCGGAGAAGAAGAAAGGGAGAGGTAGAATGGGGTAAATTATCTCACAAAAAAAAAGCAGAAAAGAAAAGTCTCTTACAGTGGAGGGGAAAGGGGAAGGTGAGAGGAATGAGTGAATCTTATTCTCATAGGATTTGGCTTAAGGAGGAATAACATACACATTCAATTGGGTATGGAAATCTGTCTTACCCTACAGGAAAATAGGGGGAGAAGGGGACAAGAGAGCAGGGGGATGATAGGAGGGCAGATTGGGAAAGGGGTAATCAGAAGTAAATACTTCTGAGGAGGGACAGGGTCAAAAGAAAGAATAGAATAAATGGGAGGGCAGGATAAGATTAAGGGAAATAGAGTTAGTTTTTCACAACATGTCTACTATGGAGGTGCTTTGCATAACTGCACATGTACAACCTATATTGAGTTGTTTGCCTCTTCAATGAAGGTGGGTGGGGAGGGAGGAAGAGAGAAAATTTGAAACCTAAAGTTTTAAAAATATATGTTTTAAAAAATTGTTTTCACATGCTACTGGGAAATAAGAAATATAGGAAATAAGAAATAAGAAATAAGAAGTCTATCCTGCCCTACAGGAAAATAGAAGGGGATAAGAGAAGGGAAGAGAGATAGAAGAGAGGACAGAGTAGGGGAAGGGATATTCAGAATGCATGCCATCTGGGGGTGGGAGGAGGGGGGAGATGGGGTGAAAATATGGAACTCAAAAACTTGTGGGAGTGAATGTTGAAAGCTAAAAATAAATACATTTATATTAAAAAAAAGAAAGAAAAAAATATTGATTGATTGATCAATTGATTCCTGCTTCTCCCCACCTGCCACAGCATCACCCTGGAGAAATCTCTTGTCTGGGGCCCCTTCTCCTTTCCCTTCCAGAGATTACTGTTTTAGGAAGGAGCCCAGATGTGCCTCATTCAATCACATCTGGACTCTTCCTCCTTCTCCATGGCTGCCAAACCTTCTTCCTCTGCTCCTCCCCAACCAGCTTTCCAGCTCCTCTCTATGTCTTGTCTTATGTCCTTGAGGACAGGGTCTGGCTTGCTTATTTTTATTTGTAATTGCAACACTTAGCATTGTGCTTGACATACAGCAAGAGCTTAATAAATGTTCAGTTGGTCTGTCTCTTTTCAGCCACTTCTCTATCTCTCTATCCATCCATCCATCCATCCTTCTGTCTGTCTGTCTAGCCATCTATGTAGCTCAGGGATTCTTCACCACCCTTGTGTCTTGGACCCCTTGGGCAGGTTGGTGAAGCCTCTGGACCTTCTAACAATCATCTTTTTAAATGCATAAAATAAAATACATAAGATTACAAAGGAAAGCAATTCTACTGAAATATGGTTATCAAAATATTAAACCACCAACAACAAATTAATAGACTCCCTGAAATCTATCCATGGACTGTGGATCTCATGGCAAGATCCCCTGATCTCAGGTTGAATGAGAAGGGCTGTGCTGTCACAGAATTTACGGTCTAGTAGAGGTGAGAGGGGATTGGAGATAAGTTAAAATAATATTAAATACAGCATGAAGATGCCTGTGAGAGGTACAGCCAAAGGGTAATGGTAATTCAGAAAAGGGGCATTCTTATGCGTCTATAAGGGGAGGGTAGCATTTGAGCCGGGCTTTGAAGGGTATGGATTTCAGTTCAATAATCACTACACGTGTCATGTGTGAAAGGCACTGGGCTGGACACAGGGAATACAAGGAGATCTATGGGGTGATCCAGAAGTCTTTCTGTAGTTTTAAAAGCTTTAAAACTGCACTAAGAGTTTTTGGGACTCTCTGAATAGCCAAGTGACTATAATACAGGTTAGAAGAGGATGACTTGCTAAGAAGAAATTAGACTGAATCGCTCAAGAGGGTAGAGTAGGGAGGGCCTGTTTCTAGCTGAAGGATCAGGAAACACTTCCTAGAGCAAGTGGAATATGAGCTGAGCAGTGAAGGTGGAGAAGGACATCAATAGCCACAGAGGTCAGCACATTCTAGTGTGCTACATAGTGACCTTTTATATAGCATTGTAAAGTTTGCAAAGTGCTTTACAAATATCAGCTCATTTGTTCTTCTTAACAGCCCTGGGAGGAAAGGGGCTATTATTATCCCCATTTTACAGATGAGGAAACTGAGGCAGGCAACAGTTAAATGACTCACCCAGGGTCACACAGCTAGTTCAGTGTCTGAGGCTGGATTTGAACTCAGGTCTTCCTGACTCTAGATCCACCCTCTGTCCACTATGCTCCCTAACATGCGCAAGGCCAAGAAATGGGAGAGGACAGGACAAAAGTAGAGATCAATGAGGTGTTCAGGGTGGCTTAAGAAGTGAGGATATACATACATTAAGGCTAAAAAGTCATCACAGCCACAGACTCCGAGAGTTGGAAGGGACCTCAGTGACCATCAAGGCCAAGGCAGAGCTGTTCAGGAATCCCTCTTCAACATCTCCAACAAGAGGTCATCCAGCGGTCACTCTCTGGGATTGAGAAGACTGGCAGTCACTGAGTCTAACCTCTTCATTTTACAGATGAAGAAACTGAAGCCCAAAGCAATGAAGTCATTTGCTGGGAGAGGTCAGAGGTCATCCTCTGGCTCCGAAGCTGATTTCTCTCTCCAGTGAACCATGGTGCCCATCCTATCTCAAGACATCTCATTCCACTTTGGGACAGAAGTAACTGAACAAAATAAGCTTCTCTGCAACTTCTTTTTTGGGGGGAACTTTGGGGGAATCAATCACAATGGGTTGACTCCCTCTTCCTTGTCTCAGCCTTTCAGAATCTTAGAGATAACTCACTATCATATCTCCCCATCTTCCCATCTCCCAAGTCTTTTCTTCTCCTGACCAGACAGACAGCATTTTTTCAACCAGTCTTTGTACGGCATGGTCCTGACCCCATCATCATCCCAGTCATCCTCCTCTGACCACATTCCACATTATCAGTGTCCTTCCTAATATGTGGCAGCAGAACCAAATACAGTGCTCTCTAGGTGGTCTGCACAGGGCAGAGTATTGTGAAAGTATCACATTCATAACTCTCAAGGTTGGCCAAGATGAGTCTGAGCATTTACAATCGTTCTACTGAAATTCACTTAGACTGCTGCCTAGCCATGCCTCCATCATCTTGTATTTGTACTTGTGCAGCTGTGCACAAAAGTGCACTTTTCTTTTTTACCTGGGTGTATGACTTTATATTGATCTCTATTAAATGTTTGGCTCCTAGATCTAGCTTGTCAAAGGCTTTTTGGATTGTAGCTCTGCCAGGCTAGTAACCCTGTCCAAAAAAGGAAATAAAGCTAGTCTGGTTTGACTAATTCTTGATTAAGCTATGCTTCCTTTTCTAAGCATCCACAGTTGAAATGTTCATAATTAAAGAGTTGTTCACATACACATACACACATACACATATACACACAAGCATATGTATATATATGTATATATATATATATATATATATATATAATATAAACATATACTTACGTAGCCATACATATACTTGGATATCTATAATCATAATCATATATAGATATGTAAATTCATATGCATCTATATAAGACTGTACTATACTAATTTGTCCTCTGTTTCTCTGAGGGTAGATAATGTCTTCTTTCATAGGTCCAAGTCTTTCCATATTTTTCTTAGTTTCCTATATCACAACAATATTCCAACCTTATACTGTCTAGTTATTTTAAATAGTCTAAAACAATATTGATTAATATGGCTGACATATAGTGTAGTTTCCCTATTTTTCTCTTTTAATTAAATCTATTTTAGCTTTAACTTTGTCTGAGATCATGATTACCACCCTTGCTTTTTTTCCTTGATAAATTCAACTCCTGATTTTTTTTTGTTTGTGTGTATCTCTTATTTCCTATCCGTCCTGACTACTTTATTTCTACCCATCACCTTGCCCTCCCATTACCTAACCTCCCTCCCTTCCTTATTCTCTTCCCCCAAACCTGAAGTCCTTCCCTTATCCTCTCCCCCTCCCTGTCCCCTACGCTTTCCCCCCCCCCTGAATTTAGAAGACTTTTATGCCCTTCTAGATATATATGTATTGTTCCCTCTTTAACCCATTCCCAATGAGAGTAGGGTTCCAGGATTACCAGCCCTCCTCCCCCATCTAATTCCTCTCTGTCAGTTCTTCCTCTCACACCTCATTTGTATAAGATAATTACTCTTTTTACCTTTTCCTAAATGATTTACTTTTTAGTATTTCATCAATTCAACTCTACCCTAATCTTTCTTTCAAACTCCCCAATTACTAATAACAATCTTAAACACAGTTTACATTTTCTCATATAAAAAGTAGTTTGTCCTTATTGAGGCCCTTGTAATGATGTTTAGCTTACATTGGTCTTAGATCTTATATGTGAACTTTTCTATTGATTTCAGGTCTTTTTGCAACAAAATCCTGAAAGTCTGGCAATTCATTGAATTTCGATTCAGAATTATGCTTGACTTTGCAGGGTATAATATTTTTGACTGCAACTCCAATTCTTTTACTTTTCAATATATAGTATTCCTAGACCTACAGTCTTTTAGTGTGGCCACTGTTAGGTCTTATGTAATTCTAATTGTGGCTCTGCCATATTTGATTTTTTTTCTTGCTGCTTGTAATATTTTCTTCTTGAACTGGGGGTTTCAGAATCTAGCTATGATATACCTGTGGGTTTTCCTCATAGGATCTCTTTCAGGTGGTGATTGGTGGATTTTTTTCTATTTCTACTTTCCTCTCTTATTCTAACACTTTAGGACAATTTTCTTTAATTATTTCTTGTATTATTGTATCAAGATTCTTTTTTTGATTGTAACTTTCAGGTAGCTGATTAGTCTTATGTCTTTTCTCTTGTTCTGTTCTCCAGATCAGTTGTTTTTATTGTAAGATGTTTCACTTTCTCTTCTGTTTTTTCATTCTTTATATTTTATTTTATTATGTCTTGGTCTCTTATAACTTCGCTGGCTTCCCCTGGCTAGATTCTAATTTTCAAGCAGATGTTTTCTTCCTTAAGATTCTGGATCTCCTTTTCTAGTTGGTTAACTTTCTTTTCATAATCTTGATGTTTTTGGATAGCTCTTTCTTTAAAAAATTTTTCCTCAATCTCTGTCATTTGATTTTTAAGGTCTTTTTAAGGTTCTTCTATGAATTCTTTTTCAGACAAGTGTCCATTTGATGTTACTCTTTGGGGTAGGGGAGGCTTTTTTTTGCTTCAATATCCTCCTCTGAAGATGAATCCTGGTCTTCTCTATTCCCATAGCCATTTTCAATGATTGGGTTCTTTCTCCTTTGCTTGCTCATTTAAAAAAAATTTTTTTTTATAGCACTTCGTTATTGTGATCACCTCTAGTCTTGGGTTATGGGGAATGGTGTCTCTGGCCTCAGATCTTCCTTCAGTTCTCCCCTTTGGCCTGGAACCAGAACCAAAAACTCTTGCCTTCCTGTGGCCTCAGATCTTCCTTCAGTTCTCCCCTTTGGCCTGGAACCAGAACCAAAAACTCTTGCCTTCCTATAAGTGGCCACAGCCAGCAGCATCCCTGCCCCACTGCAGCACAGCTGAGGCTGGTGTTCCTTGTCCTTCAGATGCCCAACTCCCTATAACTGTCTGGGAGGTGAAAATTCCTGTGGCTGCAGTTACTTCCTAACCCAGCCAGCCCCAGGGCTTGAAGTTTGCTGTTTCAGTGAACTAGCCTGGATGGGTTTATACTTGCCAGGGGCCAGACCTCAGTCCTGGGATTTTTCTTCCTATTGTCCTAGGAGGACTACAATTCTGCCCAAACCCTTATTTTTACTGCTCTACCTTCATTCTGAGGCACTGTTTTGTCTTGTTTGTAGGGGAAGTCTGGAGAATTTGGAATTTTCTGACCTACTCTGCCACCTTCCCAGAATCCTCTCCTTTAACTGGGCCCTTTTGATAGAATTTAGGGCATCTAGGTGGTGCTATAGTTGTAGAGAGCAGGAAGTCAGGAAGACCTGAGTTCAAATCCAACCTCAGACACTTACTAGCTGGGTGACCTGGGCAAGTCATTTCACCTTGTTTGCCTCAGTTTTCTCATCTATAAAATGAACTAGAGAAGGAAATGGCAAACCACTCTAGTATCTTTGCAACAAAATCCAAATGGGGTCACAAAGAGTCAGACGTGACTGAACAAAGAAATTGCCTTGCTAGTTTTCACTTATCTTTAGAAATGTCTAGTTCCTTTATTTTTCTCCCAATATTTTATCTGAAAAAATACAAGAGACAGAATGGTTCCTTGGCATGGTGACTCAGCTGAATTCACCAGACATCAATAGGAGGGAGCTTGGCCATGTTCCAGAAGGCCCAAGGAATGCCAAAATAGCAGGGAACAGGGCAGAGTAACAAAGAAATGAACTGATAGAAAAGTAGAATAAGACCATTACTAGGCTGACAGATAAGCTTACTCCCTGGAGCCTGGATTAAGCATATGCAGGAGTGTACCAAACAGATTATGAGTAAAGAATTGACAGGACGTTCAGACTGCTAAGCTTGTGCAATCTTTGGAGAAGGTTAAGGAGAAAGCATAATGGAGATGGGAGAAGCTAGGAATGTGGCCCTCTGAATACAAAGTCCTGTATTCCAAGGAGCCATTGGAATCTGAGTTATGTTTTGTATAGCAAACAGCCTTATTTCTGCTTGGCAATTTAGGGTCACAGATTATATCTAGAAATGAGCTTGGGGAAAATTTAATCTAATTCTCTTCTTTTACAGATAAGAAAACTGAGGCTCAGGAATACCATGACTTGTCCAAAGTCACACAGGAAGTGCCAGAAGTCAGGACCCCTGGCTCTCAGTCTAGCACTCTTCTCATAGTATCGCATTGTTCAGATGTTACCAAAAAGGTAAGCTTTACAAATCAGCACAGTCATCGCTGGAATAAAACAATTCAGCCCAGGCACCTACAGCTAGCGCCATGTGGGTATAATCAAACTACTCAAACACATTCCACTTTTCTCTTTTACTCCTAACCATGGAAAGCTCCAATGGGGGAGACTCAGGAAGCAACCTAATGGACATGGGGAGGGAAGGGGGGAGAGAGTCGAGAATGATTTGGTGATTCTGATGGGCAGAATGAAGATGCCATTAAGAGAAACAAGGAAGTCGGAAGTTAGCCAAGAAAGAAATGAAAAGGGTTGAGACAGAGCCTTGGTGGATGACTATACTTAGAGGGTGGGAGGAGGAAGGGGAACTAGAAGAGACAGAGGAAGCATCAGACAGAGAGGTAGGAGGAAAACCAGTAGAGAACAGTGAAACAGAAATCAAGGGAAGCGAGGTGATGGAAGAAGGAACGGGAAAGCATCAACTGTTACCAAAAAGTCAAGGAGGATGAAGGCTGATAAGAGGGCACTGAATTGGGCAATAGGGTCAGGACTGAGAGCAATTTCAATTGCAGAGGACTTTCATGGTGAAGGCACGAGAGATGAAAACTGCTGGATGGGTTTGGGGAACAGAGAATAGCCCTTGGAGGACCAAAAGGGACATGATATAAAATAAGGCCAGAAAGGCCACGTTAGGTCCAGATTGTGGAGGTCTTTGAATATCAAATTAAATTAGACTTAAGGTATTGAGAGGCAATGGGTCACAACTGAGTGTCTTGGGTGGATAAGCTGGCTTCAAATCCCTCCTCTGATTCTCACTGTGTGATCCTGGACAGGTAGCTTAACCTTTCTGAGCCTCAGTTTCCCCATCTGTAAAATGAAGGAGTTGGACTTGAAGACTTCTGAGGTCCTTTCCTGCTCTAAACCTATGATCTATGCTCAGACATGTGTAGTAGGAAGATTAATATGGCAGCACAGATTGGACTAAAGCACAGAAAGACTGGAGGTCTGGAAAATACAAGGGCCTGAGTTATGGTGGTAGTAACAAGAGTGGAGGAGAGGGGCCTGATGCAAAGAGAGTCATTTTCTTTTTCTTTTCTTTTTTCTTTTTTTTTTTTTGGTGAGGCAATCAGGGTTAAATGACTTGCCCAGGATCACACAGCTAGTAAGTGTTAAGTATTTGGTCTGAGGCTGGATCTGAACTCAGGTCCTCCTGACTCCAGGGCCAATACTCTATCCATTGTGCCACCTAGCTGCCCAGAGAGTCATTTTCGAAGGTAGACATGCCAGGCCTCGGTGATTCCCTGGGTATGGGGGGGTGAGGCGGAGTTATGACTGACTCAATCAACAAACACTTATGTGTCAGGCAGCAAGCTATGCACTAGAGATGCAAATACAAAAATGCAACAGTCCCTTCCTCAGGGAGCATCCACTCTGCTGGACAAGGGCTGGCAGTGAGCTCGGGGGACTAGCAGAATGATGACGCCATGAACACATACAGGGAAGCCAGCAGGACGGAAGCAAAAACTGAAGACGTGAGAGGTGTGTGGAGTCACCATGGGAGGGGACATCAAGAAAGAACCAAAGAAGAGTGGTCAGACAGGCAGGCAGGAGGACAGCTGGACCAAGGCCACGTCACAGATATCAAGGAAGGAGAGACTCTCCAGGTGGGCGGTGAGTTGGGTCACATGATGGTGCTTGCCCCAGGGACATTCACTGAGTGCTCAGGAGAAAGGGCTTTCAGCCCAGAGTGCTGCCATGATGTGACTGTGAGGCAGGGCGAGGCTTGGGTTTCTTCATCTATGAAATTGAAGCAGTGCATATGATGATCTTTATAGAAACATCGATCTTTTGATCTATGATTCCATGAGTTACTTCTAACTCTAAAGTCTATGAGTTTAATGTGTTCTATATCAAACAAAAAATCAGCACTTATTAAGTGCCTACTATGGGCCAGATACTGCTGTGCTAGATTCTGAGGTTTTATGGGGGTGCAGTGGGTAGAGTGGTAGACTTGGAGTCAGGAAGAAGAACTGAGTTCTAACTCTGCTTTAGACACCTGGGCAAGTCACTTCTGCTTGATAGGCCTGAAAAATGTCAAGGTTGGCCAAGATAGTGGGGTGGTGTAGTCCAGGGGAAAGAATACTAGATTTGGAGCCAGGACCTGGGTTCAGATCCTGGCTCTGCTACTGACTACCAGTGTGATTTTGGGCAACCAACTTCACCTCCCTGGACCTCAGTTTCCTCCTCTGTAAAATGAAAGAGGTTGGACTTAAAAAGCCTCAGAGGTCCCTCCCAGCTTTATGTCTGTGAACTTAGACTACATTGGGCTGTATGTGACATTTTGGATTTGTGCCACAAGTCTCCTGGGACTATGGAACAGTAGCAGCGACCTAAATTGGCTCATGGCCTCCATTCACTCATAGGACTGAGTCACTTCTCACCTAGACTGTCTCAATAATCTAATTAGTCTCTCTGCCGCCAGTCCTTTCCCTCCTCAATCTAAACTTTACACAATTACCAAAGTGATTTTCCTACCATTTGGATAGCTTCTACATCCCACACAGACAGCAGCATCGACCCATACCTGCTGAGATTCCTGGGATTTCAAGTTTCTACTTATCTCCCAGGCCAAAAAAATACTGCATGTTGTGGGGACATAGGCAAGACTTGGAGAGGCTGATGATAAAGAGTATTTAAAAGCCATGTGAAGAGGGGGAGGGGGAGAGAAAGAAGGAGAAACAGAAAGACAGAGAGGGTGAGAGAAAGAAAGAGATGGAGGAGGAGGAGGAGGAGGAGGAGGAGGAAGAGGAGGAAGACGATTGGGTTGGTAGCAGCACTAGAGGGGGCAAACAGAGGCAGCAGTTGGTGAGAGACATGCTGCTTTGAGGACCCAAATTGCTGGTAAAAGCAGAAGCATTACAGGGAATTTAGAGAAGCCAACTGTTTTAATCCTCCTCCCTCCCCAGACTTTGGCACTCATTTCTGAGCTCATTCATTGACTCTGCTACCAGGTGTATTTCCTTTTTTTTTTTCTATTTTCAAATATTTTATTTTTTCCAATTACATGTAAAAACAATTCTTAACATTCAACTTTAAAAATTTTGAGTTCCAAATTCTGCCCCCCCCATTAGAGGGCAAACAATTTGATATAGGTTATAGATATGCAGTCATGCAAAAACATATTTCCATATTATTCATGTTGCGAAAGAAAAAAAGACCAAAAAAAAGTGAAAAAAGAGGATGCTTTAATCTGCATTCAGATTCTATCAGTTCTTTCTCTGGAGGTAGACAGCATTTTTCATCATAAGTCCTTCAGAACTGTCTTGGATCACTGTATTGCTAAGAATAGCTAAGTCATTGTACAATATTGCTGTTACTGTGTGCAATGTTCTCCTGGTTCTGCCTATTTTACTTCGCATCAGTTCATGTAAGTCTTTCCAGATTTTTCTGAAAGCATCCTGTTCATTATTTCTTACTGCACAATAGAATTCCATTACAATCCTATACCACAACTTGTTCAGCTATCCCCTCAAATTCCAATTCTTTGTCACCACAGAAAAGAGCTGCTAAAAATACTTTTGTACATATGAGTCCTTTCTCTTTTTGTAAAAAAATATTTTTGGGATATAGACTTAGTGGTGGTATTGCTAGGTCAAAGGGTAGCCACAGTTTGATTGCCCTTTGGGCATAGTTCCAAATTGCTCTCCTGAATGGTTGGATCAGTTCACAACTCCACCAACATTGCATTAGTGCTCCAGTTTTCCCACATGCCTTCCAACATTTATCATTTTCTGTCATATGAAGCAATCTGATAAGTGTGAGGTAGTACCTCAGAGTTGTTTCAATTTGCATTTTTCTAATCAATAGTGATTTTGAGCATATATTTTTTAATGTGAAAAATGTTCATATCCTTAGGCCTTCTATCAATTGGGGAATGACTTGTATTCTTATAAATTTGACCCAGATTCTCTATATATTTTAGAAATGAGGCCTTTCTCAGAGAAAAACTTGCTGTAAAAAACATTTTCCCCTTGTTTTCTGCTTTTCTTCTAATTTTTGCTGCATTGGTTTTGTTTGTGCAAAACCCTTTTTAATTTAATGTAATCAAAATCATCCATTTTACATCCTGTAATGCTCTCTTTTTGGGTAACAGATTCTTCCCGTGCCCACAGGTATGACAAGTAAACTATTCCATTCCCCCTGATTTGCTTATGGTATCACCCTTTATGTCTAACTCCTGTACCCATTTCAATCTTATCTTGATATGGTGTGAGATGTTGGTCTATGCCTAGTTTCTGCCAAAGTACTTTCCAGTTTTCCCAGCAGTTTTTGTCAAATAGTGAGTTCTTGTCCCAAAAGCTTGGATCTTTGGATTTATCAAGTACTAGATTACTATGGTCATTGACTACTGTGTATTCTGTATCTAATCTATTCCACTGATTCACCACTCTATTAGCTGTTAACAGATTGTTTTGATGTTTGCTGCTTTGTAATCTTCTCATCAGTTGTATTTTTCAAAAACTAACCTTGTTTTACCTCCTATAAACATCTGTGGTTGGACAGACATATGTATTTCTTTGAGTCCCTTTATTTGAGGCACAGGAGTATGTTGGGATGGCTCTGGTGGCTTTAGGCACATAGGAGAGTGAAGGGAAGCTGTTTCCCTGGCTCAGGGCTGAGCACCCTAATCCTCAGTCCATCTTTAGGGAATCTCTTTCTCAGTGGACAGGCTCTGGAAACCCCCACCTGGAACTTCTTGAATATTCCCATTTGATCCAGGACGTCTCTAGTGTTCCCCTGAGGCTATAATCCCCTCAATTGGCCTTTTATTATCACCTACACCAATCTCCCAATTCTCTGTTACCCTTAACCTAGCCCAGCCCTCCATTGTCTGTTACCCCTGATGGTCCCCAGCTACTTCCCACCCTTGATCCTATCTAGACCTTATTCTCAGGTGTCAGACCTCTAGTTACCACAGCCTACTGGCCACTCCCATCAAGATCCTCCCTAGACCCCTTCTCCTGTCACCTCAAACTACTGGGCCATTCCTAGATCCCTCCCACAGTCTTTCTGCACATAAGATCCATCTTGGCCACCATTAAGGCACTCAGATTCACTCAAGCCCCCTTGTCAATATGAGCATCACAAATGTTCCTTAAGTGTCTGGCCAATATGGGAATCTCTAATAAACCTTCTCTTTAGCTAAGAGAAGGCTTGGGTTGAATTCATTTGAGTAAGACCCGCCTGTTGCTATTTCAGGGTCCCAGCACCATAAACCTGTATACCTCAATAGGCAGTGGGGGTGAGGGTTGTTTGTCCTTCCTTCTCTTGTGGATCATTTATCAAGTACTTTGGGTCTCCTGATAAGCTCCCCAAAACAGAGCTTTTCCTGTGGACCCCGAGGAAGGCAACTAGGACAAGCAGGTTACCAGGGACTTGTTTCCACTTCTAGCCTGACCTCCTAGACCTTGCTATTGTATATCTACTGCTAGGGTTACACCACCTCACTCTCTTACTCAATGACCCCTACCACCACTGCCTCCAAGCAAACTTCTCTGCTTGGCATACAGATCCTGCTTATCTTTCCACACTTTGTGCACCTGGCCCTCTTGCGCACTCGATGCAGCCAAAGTGACCTCCCTGCTGTTCCTCAAATACCACATTCCATCTCTGCTCTCCTTACCTTTGCCCAGGCTTTCCCTCATGCCTAGAAAGCTCTCCCTCTTCACCTCTGACCTCTTAGAAACCAACCCCTGGTCTCCTCCAAAGCTCAGCTCAGATGATCCTTCTACAGAGACTTCTCCAGATCCTTCCAGCTGCTATTGATTCTCCACTCCATTACCTGGTATTTACTTGTATTTGCTTTTTATTATTAATATTCTTATTTACAGATATATTTAGTATCTACTTATTGTAAACTTGTATCTATATAAATAAATACTTTCGTATCTACTTATATGTGTACATGGGCAGCTAGGTGGCGCCATAGTGCTCAGAGCACCAGGTTTGGATTCGGGAAGACTCATCTTCCTGAGTTCAAATTTGGCCTCAGACACCTACTAGCTGTGTGACCCTGGGCAAGTCCCTTTACCCTGTTTGCCTCAGTTTCCTCAACTGTAAAATGAGCAGGAGAAGGAAATGGCAAACCGCTCTGGCACCTTTGCCAAGAAAACCCCAAATGGGGTCCCAGAGCGTTGTGCCTGACCGAAAAACAAATATGTGTACATGCTGCTCCCCATAGAACGCAAGCTCCTTGAGTGCAGGGACTGTGTTTTTGCCATCTGCATCCCCAGGCTCTGTACAGGATGTGGCACGTAGTAGGCTCTTGTAAATGCTTGTTGAATGAATGTCTTCCCAGCTGGAGGAAGGAAGTGTGGCTCGGTATTATTTACCAAGCAAATATAATGGAGCCATTCATCTCTGGCGCCATCTTCTCGGTCGCCATTGCTGTTGCTCTAGTGTAGATGTGGTACAATCTCCTAATAGGCTGCAGTCCCCACCTTGGCCACTAGAGGGTGTTCAGCCTGCAAGTATTCCCACAATTGCTGTGATGGGTTTTGGAATTTAAACTAGGGGATGTTAAAAATTGGAAATCTATAGATCTCGCCTCAACTCCGAATCTGGAATCTCCTCTCTCAGCCCAGTGACACAGACACTTTGAATCCCAGCTA